TGTGTAACAAGCTGCTACCATGCTGCGGCAGATGCCTGGCAACAGCGTGCATGTGATCGGTGGCGAACAGCTGTCATTATCAGGAAAAAAGAGAGAGAAATGGCTGTGAAAGAGGAAGAAAAGGCTTTCAAGCAGCAACTCTTATAGCCGGGCTGTTAGGATGGAGTCCTCTTTCTCCTGCCGCTTTTCCACCAATACTCCATTACCGTGCCTAATTTACCCCCAACAACCCTGTGCCAAAAGCGACCCGGGCAGGGCCATTTCTGCGTCATAATGGATCCTTGCAGGGGTTTCCATATTCCTGCTGTTTTTGAGCCCATATTCTGCTCGCAGAACAAATAAATGAAGGGGGAAATTAGTGCCTAGGACATTACCCACAATCCTTCAATGATGAACAGGTTCATAAAGAGACGGCAGTGTAATATGTTGAGAGGGTCTTGCGGGTCAGTGCCTGTGGGTCGGGGCCTGTTGTTGATGTTCCTTGCATAGAAACCAAATTGATCAAATTGATTAAAAGTCTGACCGCGGCCGTGCATCAGCAAAGTAATGGAACATATGAAGAGCGGCTGGTGGATATGTCTGCTTTGAGCAAAGCTTTTGCGCAAGTTCTCGAGCACATTAAGATGAGTTTAGGCCAATGGAAAGAGCGGGAAAAAGGGGTCGGAGAGCCTTGAGCAAGAGAGAGTGAGTGGGGCTTAGAAAAATGTGCGTCATTACCATAGATGCTCATTCTATTCAGCAAATAACCCACTTCAAACATGCTCGCCATTTCATCTTTCAAACACAGAAAAGCTTCCACATACTGAGTTTCTACTGAGTGCCAAATAGTAGACGTGGTGGTTTTTTTTTCTGCCCGGGATGATGCACTTTTTAGCCAGTGACCGTTATCAAAGCATTTAGAGTCTTTTCAACTGCTGTTTGAACCGGGTTCCACTGCACGTCAGCTCCAGCAGGCTGCGTCTGCTCCGAGTGTCTGCGTACTTCATTTTCTTGGATGCTGCTTTATTTCACATGCTTGTTCTTGCATGCAACTTTTTTTTTCTTTTTTACCAGAAATGGCTTTTAATTTTGCTTCTCTTCATCTTTCGGGGTTATTTCTCTGCTTGTCAAATCATTCCAAATGCAAGCTGCGTTTACCGTGAGCTGAGCATAATGCCATCCTCATTTTCTCCAATTCCTTATCCAGAACAAAAGGCCCTGTGACATGCTCTTGCATAATGACACATAAACACAGCACTTAAATATGACCACATTTTTAAATAGATGGTGTCTCTGCACTACTCTTATTGTGTATTTGCAGGCATTATGCGCTGTTCCCTCTCTCTTTATCTCTCTCTCTCTCTCTCTCTCTCTCTCTCTGGCTACCCTTCATTTGAGGTAATTACCCTCTCTTTCTCAGGAGAGAAGCGCTGCTCCACAGTGGACTCTGCTCTGTTCGCACATCAAAAGGAAGTAATGGGCCATATTGTCTCTGCATAATAGATGTATTTCATACATTATATGTGATTGTCTTTCTGTGTGACTAATATCAAACTGAAAGCCTGGACCTATCACTGTACAGTGTCTACAAGAAGCATGCACTGTTTCTCATGAGCTGATGCTTTCAGGTGCTGAAAGTAGTTAGCACCGTCAGGTTTTTAACCATTTTTTGTCCGGTTGCTTCAAAGAATGTAATAATAATAATAATAATAATAATAATAATAATAACACTTTTTTACAACAGTTGTCATACATACAAACAACAGTTCAAAGTGTTAAAAAGCAAAATAAACCACAATAAGATCACAAAAAATAAGACGACAAGATAATAAAAATAAATCCAGTAAAATGCAAAGAAAGATAAAAAAAGACAAGAAAAATATAATTAGACATTTATTAAAAAATATAATTAAAATTGTGTAAGCTCATTTTAGAATTGCTTTTTGAAGGAATCTCCTTTTATTTGTAAATGTATATCATCTTCATGGGTATGAAAGTTAAAACTGTGTTAATATGGAGTTTGGGCAGCATGTACAAAGACAATAACTGGGGACCAAGTACAGATCCTTGGGGTTCACCACTGAGAATGTCATGCCTATCAGAGCCATGGAAAGTGTATTATCTTTCAGAATTGTCTTTTAGTATGTTGCAAATGAGTTCAGTCCAAACCATTTGTCAGGTATATTTAGGATTATACTATGAGCTATGAACCAAAAGCAGCGCTTAGATCCAGTGAAACAAGGACTGAAACATTGTTTTCATCACCATTTACTCTTCAACTTCAACATATAATCATAAAGTGCCATAAAGGTTCAGTAGAGTCTTTATGAAATCAGATTTTGTCATATATAGTACTGTTGTTTGCACAGTCATTAAGCTGTTTATGAACTACCTTTTTACTTTACTTTGGGTGATGGGTGGGGCGGTTTCAGAGTTTTTGGGTCAGTTCAGGTCAAGTTCAGAAATAATTTTGCTGGGCTTGGGCTGGATTTGGACTCTAAATGCCATGCTGTGTGTCGGGTTAATTCTTGGTCTGTATTCGGTTTGGACCAAGATTTTAGGCTAAGCATTTAGCTCAATGATGGGTGGGGGTGGTGGGAGGGAAAGGAGAATTATTGGTGAATATTATTTTTCCTTGCCTGCTTGCCTGCAGGAAGAAGTAATCACATCTCATGACATTTTCTAAATGGTCAGTATGATGACTTGTGACCAAGAACATGAAATAACAAGGTCAGTTTTGATTTTATGTTCACTTTAAGCAAAGCTGGTCGATCTAGACTAGGTTTTTTGAATAGTTACCTGACTACAGTGGTTTTTAAAGCATGTGGAAAAGTTGTGCTGAGTATCTTTGTAAAGGAATGAAGGACAAATATTGTAGGGTTCATCTAAAATATAAAATATGGCTCTCATTTACTTTATAAAAAGTGTCCAGAGTGTTTTGAGGGCAGTCGTCTTCAGGACTGTTTCAACGACGGTGTGGTTTTGTAAAGCTGTTTGGTCCCTACAGGCCTGCAGTGCTGCAGCCTCTTCACCTTGTGCTCTGGCTGAACTCCAGCAAGCAGCAAGAATCTGGCAGCACCTCCTCCAGGGTTTACTAAGAGAAGAGTTTGGGCCGCATTAATATCCCGCCTGCTTCACTCAGAGCTGCGTTAGTGTGATAGAGTGTCGATGCTGTGTGCGTTCTCTCCTCCTACTGACATTTGCGCTGGGTCACATCAACGCCGAATGCTTTGGTTTTACCTCTCTTTTATTGCCTGTGCTCTGTTTCCCTCATTCCTCATTCCTCCTCGTTTTGGAAAAGTGTAAAGGTCAAACGTGGTCAGCTGTGCCTTCAGCATCAAATGTGTGTTCACAAAGTGGTGCACTTTGACCACAGTGGACAATATGCTGTTTAATGTGTTGGTATCTGGCAAACTGGGCCCTTTTGCTAGCTTAAGAGAGAGTAGGACTGGCCTCAGCTCCTGCTAGTCTGTTCACCAACTGGTGCTGTAACAGGAGCACAAATAACTAATGCAGGAAAGTAGCTGAGAAAGACAGTGGTCTGAAAAATGTGTTTAATCTTTCCATGCATGATACCAAACAGACACCAAACAGACCCCTATGTCTTACACAAATGATCTAAAAACTGACATGATAACGTAAATCCATCAAAACATTTCATTTGCTATAACAGAATATACTGTTGCTATCATAAGAAAACGCTGTCTTGAAAATGCTAACTGTATAGAAGGAAAAGAAAGTTCTAAACATAACGTCTGTTATGTTGCCTATTAAATACCTGTTAATTTCCTGCTGTGCAGTGCTGTGCAAACCTCACCTGCATGCCACAGACCCTCCAGATGATACTGCTGCTGCACAGACTCAAACTATTTAATCGTAGCCATTCCTTCACCTGCTTTTCCCTTTTTCTGTGTTTTAATATTTCACACTAATGGTAAAACCTTATTCTCTATTCATATTGCTCTTGTGTTATTGTTTTGCTGTCCGGTGTTGACCAGAAGAGGATGGGTTTTTCCCTTCTTGGTTCCTCTTAAAGTTTCTTCCTGTTTATCTTAGGGAGTTTTTCCCTGCCGCTGTCGCCACTGGCTTGCACATGGCAGCTTGGACGCTAGATTTTTCTGTAAAGCTGGTTTGTGACAACACCTGTTGTAAAAAGTACAGTATAAACAGAATTTGACTTGACTTAAATACGACTTAAACAGTTTTGTAAGTTTTTTTGCTGTTTATTCTCATTGCAATATGAGTTGACAGCATAAATCCAATCACATTGCATGCTTGCTGTGCAAGAATAACAAGGAGCAGTGTACTCCCATGAGCCAGGTTCGAACCCTGGTTTTCCATGTGTAGAGCTAGTAACTTAACCACTCTGCTGTAAAGTCAGTTTCAAAGCACACACAGCTCAGTAACAAATTTAGCTTTAATTACTAGCCTGTAAAAATACTTCAAACTCAATGATTATTCTTAGACCCAGAGCTGTGTGTAAAATGTGGGAAGCAGTAATGGCTACTGTCACAACAAACCTGCATCACCATAAGGTACTAGCAGTTGTGACATTAGCACTTAGTATTTCATTAGTTTTATTTTATTTTACCATTTTACAGCAGTGAATGGTTCTTTTTTTGAAGTTGAAGTTAGCTAGATTAATGTTCACATTGTATATAAAAGGAGGCTGAACTAGGTGCACATGCAGTCAGAGACACACTGTTTTAATCATAATTCATCAACAATATCATCATTGCAGTATCTATGGTGTCAAAAAGAGAAAAAAATTAAAAAGGTGATGGTGATGTTGACAATTTACTGTCACATTTTGGTAATATCTGCTAATTCGATGATTTGTTTGATATCTGATATTTGTCAAATAAAATGGTGAGAAATAAGATCACAGTTTAAATTTAAAACCTTATATATAATGGAACTCTGCACTCTTTGTCCACCACAGCCACAATCATTTCTAATATGTTCTCTTCCGCTCTTTCTCTGCTCTTTCTGTCTGTGTCTCTCTCTGTCTCTGTCCTTAGAGGAGAGACCGGACTGTTCCAAGGCCAGATGTGAGGTTCAGTTTTCACCGCGCTGCCCGGAGGACTCAGTGCTGATTGAGGGTTACGCCCCGCCGGGCGAGTGTTGTCCCCTGCCCAGCCGCTGTGTGTGCAGCCCCGCGGGGTGTTTGAGGAAAGTGTGCCAGCCAGGCTACCTCAACATCCTGGTGTCCAAAAGCTCAGGCAAACCTGGAGAGTGCTGTGACCTGTACGAGTGCAAACCAGGTAAGGATGAATTCATGAACAATGCACACTGCCTGTAAAGTTTTGAGTACATTTCCAAAACCTGCAAATGCAAATAAGCATGTTTTTTGTCAGAATAAAATAGCATTTACCATTAATGGCTGACACAGAAAGGTGGCTACGTCTGCCCTTTAATCAACGCTTCTTATAGCAATAAAAATAGGGAAACAGGAATCCTTATAGGATTAATACTTACAGAAATATAGTCGCATATCAATCTCAGGTATCACACAGGAAGCACCAGTTCTACATGCATTTTATTATGGCCAGCATGGATATGCAATTCCTTTGGTGGGAGATTTAGTTAAAGTCTCTGAATGTATCACTGGCAAGATGTTTGGTTTCAAAGGATTGATGCGGTGTATTTTAAGAGAAAAACAATATCAATATCACCTTAGGAATCATGCCACTCCTTTATACCACCTTTATGCCAAAAGATTTGCAGTAAGTGCTTTTAAAGGTAGTTTGGAAAAGAAAAATCTTTATTTAGACAAAACCTGCTTTTCATACCATGGAAGACAGTTTGATTAACACAAAACTGAGAGTTGCAAAATATGAAAAAAGTATATATATACTTTTTTTTATAGAAGTACGCTAAGAAGTACCATTTTTGAGGGGTAGTCTACAGTCTAGAAGTGTTAAGTGCTCTACACTCTTATGCATGAGCAAATGATTATTAGAGCGGTCGATTACATTTGACCAGCGATGTTTGCTTCTGTTAGCGAGCAAAAGAACATGCATTTGCTAAAGCCACCTAGGCAAACTGCAGATGTGTGTGTGTGTGTCTGTATATATATATATATACATGGCCACATAAACCGCCTGTTTTCTTGTCAAGACCTGGCGGCTGTAGTAAACAGAATGACGGGCAGACAGATGCTGGTTGCAGATGCTGATTTTTGCCGTTTTGTTTCCAGTTTTTGACACTTAACCTCACTGAGCTGCTCTGAGTGTGAAATCAAAGTCACATCATATGCTTGAGGGTTTAGCGTGTGTTTGATGGAGTGTTCTTGGTGATTGTTGTGTGTGTGTGTGTGCGTGTGTGTGTGTGTGTGTGTGTGTGTATGCGTGTGTGTGCACATGGCAGTTTTCAGCGTGGACTGCAGCACAGTGGAGTGTCCTCCTGTCCAGCCGGTGCAGTGTCCAGCCGACAGCTATGAGACGCAGGTCAGACTGACAGCAGACGGTTGCTGCACCCTGCCCACAAGGTAAGTGCACCCATTACACCACGTTCCAAATTATTATGCACGTGACATTTTTGTTTGTTTTTCCTAACCAGTCAAAATGTTTAAAGATTTTTTTGTCCTCAGTTATATCAGAATGTGGATGTTATTACAAGTGGAAGTACTGAAACTGGCAATGGCTTTAATGATATTTTGCAAAGAAAACAAAATACGTTGTTCCAAATTATATGTAGAATGCAGTTTTTGAAAACATTCAATGGGTCATTATGACAAAAATCTATTTCTATTTATCTTTTTTCAAAAATAAATCAAAAATTCTATTTACAGATCCAGTTACATATTGATAATAGGATTGAGGTCAGGGAATGATGGTGGTCAAACCATGATTTTTTTTCGCCTTTCATACCCATAGCAGCCAAAGAGTCAGTGGTGTTTTTTGCAGCGTGGGACTCTTCTTTTTATACCATGACAGAAAACAGTTGGTTAGGAAATTGCAGAGGTCATTTTAACATCCTCAGGGACCCCAAAAGGATCTACCCTCTCACTTCCCAATATTCCAACAGTCTTGTTGGAACAGGGTGGCCATTCACTAACCATCCACAACTCCATCCATGTGGACCATCTAGTGTAGCACAGAATTCATCAGTGAATAAAACTGCTTGAAAATTAGTCTTCATGTATTTCCGAGCCCACTGTAAATGTTTCTTTTTGTGAGCTTTGCTTAGGGGTATCCAAAATACAGCTTTATGCACAGCTATCAGCCTAGGGGCTGCAGTTCTTGAGACTCCAGAAACACCAGCAGCTTCAAATACCTGTTTGCTGCTCAGTAGTGGCCCTTTTATACAATTAATTTGCCTGACAGAAACTTTCCTTAATAAGCCTTTATCTGACTGTATTCACCTGTGCTCTGAATTTCTCACATCTTTTCACAGCTCAATGATATCTCTTCAGTTTTCATGAAATATCAGTCGTTTTCATTCCTTTTGCAAGACATTGCACTATTTCACGCTTTCCATCTTCTCCCCAGATTGCATGAGAACTGTGACTTGCTTAATAATGTGGAACATTCTCTTTTATCTTTAATCAGGATAACCTGACAAACTAGTTAACAAACCTGTCTGAGGTTGATACCATATATCTGATATGGTATGATCAGATATGAGAAATAAAACAAAGACTTTATTAAAAAAACTAAAACCTAAAATCATTATACTGAAATCCTACTAATATATTACTTGCATAATAATTTGGAACACAGGTGATGAAAGAAATAATTATAATTATCAAAATGCAACATTTTCAACTTTGACTGTACATGATGGGGTATTTTGTGCTGCATTGTTCCTTTAGAAAGTTTCCAGAAGTAAACTTGTAGTCCAGAAGTAAATATCAGATGTAATACAGAGCAAAAAGAAGTGTTTTGTTTTTTTAGGCTTTAAAATACTATTCAGACTTTCAGCACTGAGGATTAGGAATTACATAGTTACCAATATTGCAGAACGTAAAAATTACCTGTATCACCCAAACCTTTCCCCACCTCTCTCCTTCATCACAGCCATAAACACAGCTCACATAGCATTCATCTCCATGGTGTTTCTGTGCAGGTCTATTTCCAAAGCACTGCAGTGTTTCACTGTCTGCTTTAATGCTTTTATTTAATCAGGTTTTATAGTGTTTAGTAGAATGAAATTCCGAATTGGGTCCAATACTGAATGTAGCAGCTCTATCGACTGGGGTATTTTTCTATTACTGTGCAAGAAATGAATGACATCAGCATTATTTTATATAACAAAAGTGACATCTCTCTTTTATTCCATCTCATTTCTCTCTTTTTCTGTCCTCTTCTCACTTTCTCTCTCTCTCCCATTCTCTCTCTTTCTCTCCTCTCTCTCTGGACCCCCTGTCTTTCTCTCTCTCTCTCTCTCTCTCTCTCTCTCTCATTTTCCCTCTTCAGGTGCGAGTGTTTGCCCGGCGCCTGCACCTTCCCTCAGTGTTCGGCTGGAACGTCCCCCCACTTGGTCTCCCGTGGCAATGGAACACCGGGGAGGTGCTGTGATGTGTTTGAGTGTGTCAACGGTGAGTCTTATGTTTGCTCAGAGAGTGTGTGTGTGTGTGTGTGTGTGTCTGTGTGCGTGTGTGCAAATGAGAGGCACACAGGTGAAGTGTCTTGTCACAGGACGCAAGACTGAGAGCAGTAGCCGTTTACACAGTTTACACCGTCATTGAGAGGAGACAGAGTGACCTGATCATGTGAACACGTAACGCTGACCTGTGGGTGCTTTAAAGCAGTGCAGTCACAGCAGCTCATTTAAACAGCTTAGAAAGGATTACTGGCAACTTTTAAACATGACATTTTGTTTCCAGGAAACAAAGAGCTGCTCGTTTGCATCTAAGTGATTACCTTTTTGCCCTTTAGCAAAAGAAAATGTTGTTGCTGCTGCATTCTAGACAGTGTTTTGTGTAAATAGCCACACCTGACTGAGCAAACCTATACGGTCAGACATCCTGTAGTTTTGATTCTAGTTCCGTAGTGAAAATCAAGTATCATGTCGTAGCTGAAGGCCACCAATGCCAGCAGGAATGATCATTTAAATGATTAACGCCATTAATTATTTTAACACTGCTAACACATTTTCCTAGTTTGACCCATAGTTGATCCATAGTAGACCTAGCCTTCAAATACAGCTTTTAAATGGCAAGACCCGTTGATTTTCAGCTTCACTGCTGTGAAATTGTTTATGTTGAGCCTGTGTATCATTTACAAGCAGAACACAACATTCATGCCAGCAATATCAGTGATTTGGCTGACTACATTGGACAGTGCTTGTATGAGAACTATGGGTAAACCAACAAACAACAAAACTACAAAAGCAGCAGCAAAGTGGAAACTACAGTTCCTCTCGAAACAAGATGTGAAGTGCATTTACATTTACAGCATTTGGCGAAGCTCTTACCCAGAGCGACTTACAGTTAGATCGTTTTATACAGGTAGGCGAAGGTGGAGCCCAAGGACTCTTGTTGGTATAGCACAGGGTGCTTGACACAGCAGGGAATCAAGCACCAGGGCAGAGGTGCTGCACACTATGCTATACCAACCAAAGCAGCAGTATGAGAGCGAGAGGCTACAGTCACAGAGTTTGAAACAGTGAATGTATATATGATATATATGGTATTAACACTTACTGGATTGGAAGGTGCAGTCACTGTTGCTCTCATTGTACGTTGATTTTCATGTTCAAGTGTATTTGAACCCCACCATGAATATAACATATGGAATTATTGAAATTAATAAATACATTCTGATTAAGCTGTTTTGTTCTTTTAGTTAAACTGGAAAAAGTCTTTCTATATTATTATATATTATCTATATATTATATATATATATATATCGCAGCCTTCTGGGATATCATCAAAAAGGCCCATATTGCGACAACAACTAACAGCAGTACACTGTGCAGCTCTAATATGGGCGGTTATATGATTCACTGGAGAAAAGCAACCTGTGTGTTCATGTAACAGGGTACAGCAGTTCCTCTGTAGTGCTACATTTAGTCTGTTTGGATGTTCCTGGAAATGCAGTACAGGAGCCCATTACTCCGGCTATGCTGTTTCTAAACTTAGGTGATTGCTAGAATCGACATCACATCCAGTGGTGTGTAAAGGCAGTGAGAAGATGAAGGTATTTTTGTGTGTTTGTGTGTGTGTTGTTGGTGTGTGTGTGTGTGTTGTTGGTGTGTGTGTGTGTTTGCTGGGGTGTGTTGGTGGTGATAAGGGTCTGCTGAGCAGATTGTTAGCAGTGTGTGAGAGGACAGGTAACTCACAGAGAGACAGACACTCAGTAAAGCATTCAGAGGATGATCTCACACACACACAATCTCTCCCTCTCACTATTAAAGCCTGGACAGCCTCAGTGATGAAGAGAGAGAAATGGAGACAGACAGACACATGAGAGAGAGAGAAAGAGACGGAGGACCACAGAAAGGTGTCTAAGATGAGAATAAGACAGTGGGAAACAAGCTGGTGAGGCCAGAAGTATGGCTGAAAGACTTGTCATATATACATCGAAAGTGCAGTTTGAAAGAGTGAAATTTTCAAATCGTGAGAGCTGCAATTTTTATTATAGCTTACTTTATCAGCAGTTTGTCCAAATTTTTATGTGGGTGGGAAATTTCAGCCTAATAACACAGAGCTTGTGAACTGCCTGTAGATAAATTAGCCCACTCAGAAGCACCCAAGGACCCATGTGCTGTGTACAATACACAGGACCACAACTAACTGGCAGTCTGACACACTACATTCAGCGCCCAAGTCTCAAGCCATAAAAAGTGGATATGCTGGTCTCTTTGGCCAAAAGAAAACAGGCATAATTTATACAAAATAATCACAATTTAAATTGCAGTCATAATATTGGCCAGTAATTCACAATTAGATATTTTACTCAAATCATTCAGCGCTAGTTCTAAGGTAAAGTGGCATCCAGGGTGGTCTGTTTTTTTATTTTTAAACAAATATTATCGGAAACTATGGGTCATGAGTCTGACGTAGACTTTTTCTTTGGACCTTTCACAAGAACACAAGAAAAAACTGGAGAAGATACTGGAGAATGAGGCCCAATGTCTGTTTACTGTAAAGCTAAACTGTATGATGCATAAGCCTACACAAAGTTAGTATTCACTGGAACAGCAGGTGGTTTTGTTTATTTATAGCAAGAAAATCTTTAACATTTTTGGGGTAAGAAATCCCCCTGTTAAATACTGCCCAGCTGCAGACCGCAAATACATTTATAACTACATACGTTCTAATCCCAGTGGTCTCACTTTATATTTTCACTTTTTTCACTTTTAACTTAAGATTTTAATCTGTTGATACTGATGACAAGACATAAACATTTATAAAATTTAGAAATTGGAACTACATTTTTCTAAGATTAGCATTGTGGAGATATAGGACATTTATTTGTAGAGGGTTACAAATGCTGTAAAATGGATAAAATAATGATATTTTAGAACAGTAGCAGAACTTTTTTTGTGTACAGTAAATACATCCTCAAAAATTGGTTTTGAAATCTGAACGTCTTTCCAGTTTCCTGTTTTTGTAATCAGTCATCTGCCAATACTGATATGATTCTGATATTAATGCGCATCCCCAGTCAAACTTATGAGATAAGTGAACAAACACTAAAATGAGTTCAGGTATGTGTATAATATACATGTCCATGTCAAACTGCCTAGTGTTGTGAGTACGGAGCCATTTATATGTTAATACAGGAAGTGATGTCATATGAAGGCCACCAGGAAAAAGTGTTTCATAAAAAAACTAAAGAAGACTGGAGTGGCATATGGGAAAAAGGGAAAAAAACAACCCAGAACACAAAAATGATTCCACTTCCCCTGCAGGTGTTTATTTCTTTCCTGTTTATCCTACAGTCAAGCCTGAGGCACATGCTGCCATGAGAGAGAGAGAGAGAATAAGAGAGAGGGCACGTAATAAGAGTCTTCTGTACTTGATGCTTGGCAGATAAGAGAAGGACGGAGCAGCCACTCCCTTCAGCACACAAAGATATGCACATGAACACAAACACACGCAAAGCAACAAGAACAAACATCTGTGTGAGATGGTGAGCCAGGTTGTGTGTCATCTCTGCGGCGTGCTGTGAAACCGCCCCGCGTCTGGCGGCTGATTAGAGAACAAAGAGGCAGAGGCTGGAGATCAGCGCAGGGAGCATCAAAGCCCCCGCAACAGAAATACACCCTGATTGAACATCTGGCCACTGGTGGCTACATCCAGTGCCGAGCCTGTGTTAATATTCCACAGCCGGAGGGGGGAGGCAGAGAGAGAGAGAGAGAGAGAGCGAGTGAGAGAGATTGATAGAGAAGATGAACTCATCTCCATGGGTGTAAACCAAAACGCAGATCAATAAACCACAGCTGTCCCACTTCCATCATCACCATCACAGGAATCCTCGCTACCCAACTCAAGATTTTGTCACAACACCATCAGATTAATGTAAAAGGATAAAATCCTGCTGTGGCACAGCTATTTATGATGCTGAGCTACAGTACATTATGCACACATTTGACAAAAGTGTGCAGTTTTCTCCTTAGTTAATAAAGCAAGACATCTTTATTTTGGCTGATGTCGCTAAAAAGTAATGGAAGCTAATGACCACCGTTTAGCTTTGTGCAAACTACGTGCCTAAATTGTTACACCCTTGCTTTAAAGCTTGTGAAATAGTTAAATAATCTTAACTAGAATTGCTTATGTGGGTTTTGACTCTGTATTACACACATAATCTATAAAAATGGATGAAGTGATCCCAAAACATATTTGGACACAATTTTAATGAAGTTCTTCATTTTACTTAATAATAAAATTAGATTTATAGAAGCACTTTTAGCACAACATTGGACTCTTTGTGGAGAGAGCTTGGAAAAGAATTCCAGCCAATTCCAGCTGTACAGAACAGAGGTGGAAAGAATAGTAGGTGATATACCAGTTCATTTAGTTTTGTCCTAACATTTATGCCACTTTGCCACACTTAAGCACACTAAGGGTAGCCCGTTTAGCTGGATTACAAAGTTAGTTGCATTTCAAGTGAAAATAGAATCAGTCGCATTTCAAGAAAAAATAAAAATGAAACCAGCCAGTCACACCCCACTGCGTAGTCAATTGCAGTCTGAGATAGTCCAATTTATTAGCACAGGACATCAGAGAGATATATGAAAGGAACAGTCAGTTCACCTTTAGCCTAGCATGGACACCAGACCGCTTGCTTCTGTCTCTGCCTCACTCGGTCAGCTGCATCAGGTGATGTCAGTGTACTGGACACATGAGACAAATAATATGAGAGGTTCAGACATGAAACAACACTAAGTACATTTTTGCCAAGGCCGGAGACGCCACTACAAGCTTAGGGTCAGAGAGTGATTTCCAATTTCCAAAAAGGAAATTAAAATATTGAAATGGTCTTTTTAGGATAGATACCATTTGGTTTGAAATTTTTGTTTTATTTTGTTTGTTTGTTTTGTTCAGGCGTGGCACAAATGTCCAGATACTTTTTGGGGCCATGATATGTG